CTACTGCGAATTTCAGTGACGTCACAGTTTAGCCTCTCCAGAGTTTATTAAACTCAGTCGGAGGCGTAGATTCCATATTCTCCATATTTGACATACCCGATCTCCCTATCAGTCACAGTCTCTTTCCATATAAGGAGCATATTAAGCAACCACGACTGCGACGGCATGGAGCGAAAACGCCCCAAAACATTGTATTCACGCTGTTTCACATTAATTTTTATCACTCTTATTCCATTTCGTTCAAGTTAATTGTCAAATTCACCAAGTTGGTGAACGCTTTTTGGCGTTTAATTCTATTGTAATGTATCTCAATGTAGAAAAAGAAAAAAAATGGTTTTCTAGTCTGACAGCGTTCCGTGTTTAGTTATGTTTAAAACACGAACATCAGTGTTTTATCACTGGTTTAACATTTGAGCGTAATAAGCGTGAGATTTTTTACCAGAAAACGCGTTTTTTGACAAGCCTTAAAAAAATTCGAGTTTACTCTCATAATATTGGAAACAGAAACATAGTTAGACATGCCTTCCTTTCGATTCACTGCTGGTCAGCGGCCATGAACAGTCCACCCCTGGAATGTCTTTCCCGAATCGTTAGGTAATATAGAGAATCTCAATCAGGTTAAGGCTAAAGTGAAGAAGCGTTAATTATTTCCTTATTTCATTTTTTTTGCAATAAATTTCAGATATTGTAAAGTAGATAACTATGTTTTTAATTATCAAATTGCAACTGTAAAGTTGGCCGAAAAGCCATTTTCTAAGGTAAGCTGATAAACTATTACTATTACTTCATATTTCATTGCAATAGGATTGCCAAATAACGGTCTTCTCTTTTTAACTAAAAAAAAATAATAATAGAATGGGAACACAAAAGCAGCCAAAATAACAAAGGTCGGTCAGATATAATTATGCAAATACTGTACATGTACAACCTCAAGTACACAGTTTAAAGAACTGTTCACGTGTAGGTGCGTAACCCCCCCTGTCCATATAATCTCTTATTTTAATTTGATCAAGTTTACATGATAGGTGGGGGTGACCATATGAGAGATTGTATGGACAGGCGGGTTACCCTACCTAAGCGAGTCACCTCACTAACATGGGGACCCCCACCTTCATGTAAACAGGCCCTAAGCGTCTACCTGCCTTCGCAAAACGAGTATCCAAGTTAAAGAAATTTCCACAGTTATCACTGCGTTTCAACAGAATGTGTGCCAGACTATGGCCTACTCGGCGAGTTTGAAGCAAAGATTCTTACTGTTTTATTACCTCTATTTTCGCGTTTATTTCGCTTGTTATCCTCCAGAATCCTCCAAAAATATTTGCTTGACTTGTATTTGGTCGAAATTCGTCGATAAAAGCTTTCATTCTTCGCAAAAGCCGCGACAAAATTCTTCCCGACGGAAGCGCCATTTTCACTAGATTTGAAAAAATCGTTGCCTGAAGCTCAAAACTCCCCAGGGCCTGAAAGTTGGCACATAATTGGCTAAATCTATTGACTTCCTGTGGGCCAAATTTGGAGGCAATCGGAAGTAACACAATTTTTTGCGAGTGTTCGTCGCGTCATAGCGCTTACCCATTTTTACTACTTGGGTTAGATAATTGTATGCTCTTTTCTACATTTTCAGTTACTTATAAATTGTACTAGTGGCGGAGTTTAGGTAAATATATATCTTGATTTTATAAAATTCGGGTTATGACGGAATAATATTCGCTGTAGGAAAGTGAAAGTTAATAGCTAACCGAAATTTAGTAGTTAACTGAGAATTGGCCCAAAAAATAGTAGTTAACTGATATTTGGCTGAAAAATTAGTAGTTAACTGAGAATTGGGTACCCCCATTAGCACCCTCTTAAAAAAATTCGAGTTTATGTAACACATATTAAGGGACTTGCCCAGCCCCTTATCTGTAACAGGTTTAAGAAAATGGTTGATGTGCACTCTCGTAATATCGGAAGCAGAAACAAGTTAGATATGCCTTCCTTTAGATTCACTGCCGGTCAGCTGCCATGAGCAGCCCGCCTCTGGAATGACTTTGCAGAATCTTCAGGTAATAAAGGGAATCTCGACCAGCTTAAGGCAGAAGTGAAGAAGCGTCATTTCCTTATTTCATTTTTTTCCCGATAAATTTCAACTACGGTAGATAATGATGATTTTAATTATCAAATTGCTATTTTAAAGACTAAAAGTTGGCTGAAAAGCCACTTTATGGGGTAGGCTGATAAACTATTACTGTTACTAAATATTTCACTTCAATAGGATTGCTAAATAACGGTTTTCTCTTTTTGGCTAAAAAAAGAAGAATAATAATAAAAAGGGAACACAAAAGAAGCCATAATAACAAAGGTTGGTCAGATATACATTGTAATTCAAAAAGTGCAAATACATTGTACAACCTCAAGTACCGCCTGTTATATGAACCGCCTGTTCATATAATCTCACATTTTAATTTGATCAAGTTTACATGATAGGTGGAGGTGACCATATGAGAAATTGTAAAGACAGGCGGGTTACTCTACCTAGGCGGGTCACCTCACCTACCTGGGGACCCCCACCTCCACGTAAACAGGCCCTAAGTGTCTACCTTCCTTCGCAAAAAGGCTATCCAAATTAAAGAAATTTCCACAGTTATTCTGAATCGTACAAGAGGGAAAAACGTTCGAAGAGAGTGTCACTACATCTAATTGCGATGCAACGGAAGATAATGGCAATTGATATAACTTAAGTTTTGCGGAATTGCAAACCGGTCAGTGACTGGCACATGTAAGAATTATTTGCGTCTCACTTCACCAACTTATTCTTGGCTCGATGAATAAATAGTCGTGTAATTCGATTAGTCTGGTGATTTCTCAGTTAAAAAACGTCGACATTTTTGTGAATAAGTTTTTTGTACTGCCTACATCGGCGTCCAAATATGGTAACCGTGTGCCGGATGTGAGGATTTAGCGGCGGGACAGACAATCAGAAACGGTGAAATATTGAACTTGACTTTTTTGGATGCCACGCAACGCTCAAAAAACGGCTCCGAGGGAGACTAGTTCTCAGGGGGATCAGATTGGTACCGACAACTTGTTTCAGCCCTCAAAGCAGACGAGGGGGCTCGTTTGATTTAGTTCTCCCAAAAAGAATATTGCGAGCCGAGGATAAGTCGGACCGACTTTATAGTTCTTGTGGAAGGAAAATGAAAACCCTTCCTTAGTTGTATTCGTTTGTGTTAAGCGCCTTGTTTAGTTCTGAAAACGAGAAGAGTGAAAGTGAAGAGCGATTCAAGCGCCCGGTTCAAGCAATGCCTTCCAACGTCGGTTTCTTCGCCCGATTGAATTCCACTGGGTAGAAAAAGTCAGAAACATGTACTTGACAGTCTAGTTGTGTAGCTTGACTGTAAAGAAGGGCAAGAGAAAGAGTTGGTAGCAACTGGAGTACAACTTAAGAGAACCAAGTCCAGGAAAACGCTATTCTCCAGTTCCGGAACGGACAAATGTAAGTCTAATATATAATGTTTTTGTTGGTGATTGTGACGGGGAGTAGTCTTCTATACTGCAGTATGGACGACTTTTCAAAAGTAAACGAAACTAGAATCAAAGTATTGAGTTTTCAGCCTAGCGGACACGTCGAAGTTCGATGTCCCCATGGAAAAAAAAGTATATCTTCGGTGATCAAAAACATTGTTTTGATGCTGTTACGCCTTGACAGGCGGTCCGCACTTCTCTAATCTGCGGCACGTTTGCGGTGACAGTTTGACCCTTTACGGAGTCCTGGAGTTTCCGGGGTGGAAATGAAAATTTATGAGCGATCGTTGCAAGCTCTCCTTTCTTCGGCCCCTCGCTCGCGCGTTCTCGCGAGGCACGCTTTGCTCGCCAAAATAGGAGAGCTTGCTCGCAGGCTAGCAAGCAAAAGGGGAAATAGACTGCAAAACAGTCCGTATTTTTGGCGTATTCAAGTACGCGAGAGCAGTCAAACAAAAGGTCTCGAACAAGGCTGAAAACAGAGAGCGAGACTGGGGAGAGACGCTAAAAATACAAACTGTGTTTTGAAACAACAGCCGCACATTTAACAATGTATCCGAAGTGCTCGGCTCTTTCGGCTTTCTCCCTCTTCGAGGAGCAGGCACAGGCTTTTGTTGTCGTACTACCACTTCCACTCATTTTTGATCCTCCACTATATATACTACATTTCACTATACACTACATTTCACAGAGAACCAACGCTGAAAACTGCTTTAGAATTACTGGATTACAGCGTCAAGAGCAGACAATAACACGCGCTATTCTCCCTCGAAATCAGTTAATGAGTGTATCAAATTCACAAAGGGGGCGGAGTTGCGAACAGATTTTTGACAGCTCGACGACGTTTTTGAACCCCCTGGTCGGAACGAATTCATTGTGTGGAAAACTAGCCTCCAACGCAGGCGTTTTTAGGGGAGCTCGTATTTCGAGAGAAGAAATACGAGCTCCCCTAAAAACGCCTGCATGGGAGGTTAATGGAAAACGGACAGTCGTTTTTTTTTCTCTCGCCCTACGGGCGTGTGAGGCTTGCGCGCTTCGCGCGCGTAAGACTCTTACGCCACGCTTTACCGATTTCTTTACTGATTTTGAGAAAAAAACCGACTGTTCTGCAGTCTAAAGGGAAAAAGACCAGAAAAATTAAAGATTTTGTGAAGAATGAATTGCGGACACCATAGCGCGCGCTGATGACAACACTCATGTCATTCTTGCGATACAAAAGTACTTTTTAGGTAGTTTGAGTGGCTAATAAAAAGAGAATTGAATTTGATTTATTGACCAGATCTCGCTTTCGGCTTCGTCGACAAGAGATCTGGGTAATATTTGCATTCCACTGAAACCCTCTTTAAACAATCAAGGTTAAAGTAACATGCTTCTAACGAGAGTAAATAAGGGTCTAGTGAATGAACACATTCCTATTTCTTGGTGATAATAATTACCGTATGGAATATTATTGCAAGTTTTGCCATCTCCGAATAGAGGTCTAGTAAATGGACATCTTCCTAATATTCGGCGAGTTGATTACCTGATGCTAGATTGCAAGTTCTGCCATTTCCAGTGTAAGGATTGTTACATGAACAACTAAAGGATCCCACTGTGTTGGTACATGAAGCAAGTGAACTGTGGCAGTTGTGAGTACCGCGGCTGCACTCGTCAATGTCTACAAAAAGGGAACAGTACAAGTAAGCGTAATCATAACCTTTGTAACCGTTTTCTTTGTAAAGGGGAAATAAGAGAGCTGATCTGGCATTCGTCTAAGTCTGAAAGAAAATGTTATAAGAGATTTCAAGACGAAAACAAACTCTGAAGTTATATTATGCCTGAACATTATAAGTGTAATTTTTTTGCCATAAAAAGTCGTTAAAACTAAAGAAAAAATAGGAAAGACTTGGCAAGCACGCACCTGAACAGTTGTAGCCATTTCCTCTGTACCCTGGTTTGCAACTGCAGTTAAAGGAACCTTCGGTGTTAATGCAGGTGGCATTGTCGCTACAATTGTGAGAGCTGATCTGGCATTCGTCTACGTCTGAAATAAAATGTTAGGAGCGTCTTCAAGACGAAAACGAACTCTGAACTTATATTATGCCTAAACATTTCAAGTGTAATTTTTTTTGCCATAAAAAGTCGTTAAAACTAAAGAAAAAGTAGGAAAGACTTTGCAAGCACGTACCTGAACAGTTGTAGCCATTTCCTCTGTACCCTGGTTTGCAACTGCAGTTAAAGGAACCTTCGGTGTTAATGCAGGTGGCATTGTCGCTACAATTGTGAGAGCTGATCTGGCATTCGTCTTCGTCTAAAAAAAATGTTATAAGAGATTTCAAGACGAAAACGAACTCTGAACTTATATTATGCCTGAACATTTTAAGTGTAATTTGTTTGCCATAAAAAGTCGTTAAAACTAAAGAAAAAGTAGGAAAGACTTTGCAAGCACGTACCTGAACAGTTGTAGCCATTTCCTCTGTACCCTGGTTTGCAACTGCAGTTAAAGGAACCTTCGGTGTTAATGCAGGTGGCATTGTCGCTACAATTGTGAGAGCTGATCTGGCATTCGTCTTCGTCTGAAATAAAATGTTAGGAGAGTTTTCAAGACGAAAACGAACTCTGAACTTATATTATGCCTGAACATTATAAGTGTAATTTGTTTGCCATAAAAAGTCGTTAAAACTAAAGAAAAAAAAAGGAAAGACTTCGTAAGCACGTACCTGAACAGTTGTAGCCATTTCCTCTGTACCCTGGTTTGCAACTGCAGTTAAAGGAACCTTCGGTGTTAATGCAGGTGGCATTGTCGCTACAATTGTGAGAGCTGATCTGGCATTCGTCTTCGTCTAAAATAAAATGTTATAAGAGATTTCAAGACGAAAACGAACTCTGAACTTATATTATGCCTAAACATTTTAAGTGTAATTTGTTTGCCATAAAAAGTCGTTAAAACTAAAGAAAAAGTAGGAAAGACTTTGCAAGCACGTACCTGAACAGTTGTAGCCATTTCCTCTGTACCCTGGTTTGCAACTGCAGTTAAAAGAACCTTCGGTGTTAATGCAGGTGGCATTGTCGCTACAATTGTGAGAGCTGATCTGGCATTCGTCTTCGTCTGAAATAAAATGTTATAAGAGATTTCAAGACGAAAACGAAATCTGAACTTATATTATGCCTGAACATTTTAAGTGTAATTTTTTTTGCCATAAAAAGTCGTTAAAACTAAAGAAAAAATAGGAAAGACTTCGCAAGCACGTACCTGAACAGTTGTAGCCATTTCCTCTGTACCCTGGTTTGCAACTGCAGTTAAAGGAACCTTCGGTGTTAATGCAGGTGGCATTGTCGCTACAATTGTGAGAGCTGATCTGGCGTTCGTCTTCGTCTAAAATAAAATGTTAGCAGAGTTTTCAAGACGAAAACGAACTCTGAACTTATATTATGCCTGAACATTTCAAGTGTAATTTTTTTTGCCATAAAAAGTCGTTAAAACTAAAGAAAAAATAAGAAAGACTTCGCAAGCAAGTACCTGAACAGTAGTAGCCATTTCCTCTGTACCCTGGTTTGCAACTGCAGTTAAAGGAACCTTCGGTGTTAATGCAGGTGGCATTGTCGCTACAATTGTGAGAGCTGATCTGGCATTCGTCTACGTCTGAAATAAAATGTTAGGAGAGTTTTCAAGACGAAAACGAAATCTGAACTTATATTATGCCTGAACATTTTAAGTGTAGTTTTTTTGGCCATAAAAAGTCCTTGAAACTAAAGGAAAAATAGGAAAGACTTTGCAAGCACGTACCTGAACAGTTGTAGCCATTTCCTCTGTACCCTGGTTTGCAACTGCAGTTAAAAGAACCTTCGGTGTTAATGCAGGTGGCATTGTCGCTACAATTGTGAGAGCTGATCTGGCATTTGTCTTCGTCTGAAATAAAATGTTATAGGAGATTTCAAGACGAAAACGAACTCTGAACTTATATTATGCCTAAACATTTTAAGTGTAATTTTTTTTGCCAAAAAAAGTCGTTAAAACTAAAGAAAAAGTAGGAAAGACTTTGCAAGCACGTACCTGAACAATTGTAGCCATTTCCTCTGTACCCTGGTTTGCAACTACAGTTAAAGGAACCTTCGGTGTTGATACAGGTGGCATTGTCGCTACAATTGTGAGAGCTGATTTGGCATTCGTCTAAGTCTGAAATAAAATGTTAGGAGAGTTTTCAAGACGAAAACGAACTCTGAACTTATATTATGCCTGAACATTTTAAGAGTAATTTGTTTGCCTTAAAAAGTCGTTAAAACTAAAGAAAAAATAGGAGAGATTTCGCAAGCACGTACCTGAACAGTTGTAGCCATTTCCTCTGTACCCTGGTTTGCAACTGCAGTTAAAGGAACCTTCGGTGTTAATGCAGGTGGCATTGTCGCTACAATTGTGAGAGCTGATCTGGCATTCGTCTTCGTCTGAAATAAAATGTTAGGAGAGTTTTCAAGACGAAAACGAACTCTGAACTTATATTATGCCTGAACATTATAAGTGTAATTTGTTTGCCATAAAAAGTCGTTAAAACTAAAGAAAAAAAAAGGAAAGACTTCGCAAGCACGTACCTGAACAGTTGTAGCCATTTCCTCTGTACCCTGGTTTGCAACTGCAGTTAAAGGAACCTTCGGTGTTAATGCAGGTGGCATTGTCGCTACAATTGTGAGAGCTGATCTGGCATTCGTCTTCGTCTAAAATAAAATGTTATAAGAGATTTCAAGACGAAAACGAACTCTGAACTTATATTATGCCTGAACATTTTAAGTGTAATTTTTTTTGCCATAAAAAGTCGTTAAAACTAAAGAAAAAATAGGAAAGACTTTGCAAGCACGTACCTGAACAGTTGTAGCCATTTCCTCTGTACCCTGGTTTGCAACTGCAGTTAAAGGAACCTTCGGTGTTAATGCAGGTGACATTGTCGCTACAATTGTGAGAGCTGATCTGGCATTCGTCTACGTCTGAAATAAAATGTTAGGAGAGTTTTCAAGACGAAACGAAATCTGAACTTATATTATGCCTGAACATTTTAAGTGTAATTTTTTTGGCCATAAAAAGTCGTTAAAACTAAAGAAAAAGTAGGAAAGACTTTGCAAGCACGTACCTGAACAGTTGTAGCCATTTGCTCTGTACCCTGGTTTGCAACTGCAGTTAAAGGAACCTTCGGTGTTAATGCAGTTGGCATTGTCGCTACAATTGTGTGTGCTCATCTGGCATTCGTCTAAGTCTGAAATATAATGTTTAAAGATGTTATCTAAATTCAATTCTACTTCAAACAAAAAGGTAGTAAACATAACAGCTAATGAAATATTTTTAGTATATAGATACTGATGAAATACCAGGATTTTTCCTTTTACTAAAAAATCATATCTTCATCGCGCGCAGTGAAGATACTATTTTTATCTTTCACGTGTGAGGATATTGGTGTCGCCATGGTTACTAACATAATTTTTCTTCTTGTTTAGAATTTTGATTTTTTGGAACAGAAAATATAAATATTATTGTCTTTATTTCTCCTTTGCAACTTTATATCCGAGTTTCATAACATTTTTGTGACAGGCATTTTGCTTCGCTCACTTGTGAGAGATACTTTCAGCACTCGAAAATAAAATTCGTATCCCCAAGCGGCCATATAATATCCTCTATATACAAAAAAGGCGAATACGAATACGAATTTGAGAATAACCTAGATAAGCGAAAAATTGCAGGACAATTTTTTTCAAAATTTTACCTTGACATGTTTTGCCGTCACCTGTAAAGCCCTCTATACATGAACAAAGATAGGAGCCAAGAGTGTTCTTGCAGTTTGCGTTGACGTCACAAACGGGTGGGGTCTTCAAGCATTCATCATCATCTAATGGTACAAAATAGATTTTAGCATAGGAAATATGTGGGTTATTTCTAAGTCAAGGTCATGCAAAGTGTGATTTTATTTGAACAGCTTACAAATGTTGCGCATACATTACAGGGCAATCTTATTCGATTTGCATCTTGGAACTTTGTTATCGTATTTTGGCATGCACACGTGCTCAAGTCTCAAGTCTAGGAAATAAACGGAAGAGAACAGACAGATTATCGTACCTTCTCGTCTCATATAGAACCTTAGCTCATCTGTCACAAAGTCGTCAGGTCGTTCTTCCTTGGTCTGGCTGTTAAGCTCGCACACTTTGCGAGGAATGTAAAAATTGTAACTCGCACACCTGGGGTCTCTTTCACAGGTGTTCTGGCACTCAACAATGGCCCTCACTGCAAACTCTTTGAAGGTGTGACCCTTGAGAGCTTTACCAGGAAATGATCTCTCTGAAATTTTACATTGCCCTCCTCCAGCCTCACTTCCGTACATCCCGGATATAAGACAAATTGTGAAGAGTGCCAAGGGCATCTTGAAGTCATCGGTTTCTGAAACTTTGAAGAATTTTACACCTTATTTTTCTCAACATCAACTTCCTCTCGGGGTAAAGCGTCGCCGAAGTATTTAGAGTTCCCATCCCAAGGGCGACCTCCGGGAAGCACTCGACAAAGTTTTATGAGGGGAAACGGGAGGCTCCGCCCCGAATAACGCCATATCACGTGTCTCCGGGAGGGCAAGAGTGTAAGGGTGTTTCTCACCAGAGCTTCTCCGTTTGTAACGCCGTACTTACGAACCACAATTATGGTGAAACAGCTGTCAACGGCTACAACAAGCCCGCTGTTCTACTGGTGCCTTATTTGTGCCTTGCAAAGCAACTTAAATGGTAGCGGTCTTGTTTTTATCTTTGATAATTGCCGGCTTTCATAATCAGTCTCGTCCACTAACCTCAAACTCTGTGGGGTGCCACCCACACCCCAGATTCTATAGAATTCTCTAGAAAATTCGCCTCGTGATGACGCTGATTGCCATAGAAAATTTCATTGATAATGCATCCGACGAAGACGTTCAGCTATGCGCAAAGTTTGGAACCGGTCAAACTCTTGGCTATGACAAACGGATCGGACGCAACAACTCCCAACATTGTTGGAAAAACAATGCTGCAAAACAGCTGCAAAACAGTGCTTATTTTTGCGTATTCAAGTACGCGCAAGCAGTCAAACAACACAAAAGGTCTGGAACGAGGCTGAAAACAGAGAGCGAGACTTTTTTTTCTCGCCTCACACGGTGTGAGGCTCGCGCCCTTCGCGAGCATAAGACCCTTACGCCACGCTTTACCGATTTCTTTACTGATTTTGAGAAAAAAACCGTCTGTTTTGAAGTCTAGCCCAACAATGTTGGGAGTTGTTGTGTCCGTTTGCCTCAACCAATCAGATCTCATTTCGCTCGGAAACTAGTTTCTGAGGCAAAACTTAAGGCAGAAATATGATTTTAAGCCGATTATGACACTTCTTTGGAGTAATTTTTGCCTCTTCGTTCATGTATCACGGCTATAACTCCAATCTTAAAAGACTGGAATTTTATCTACATTTCATTTGAATTTAAACATAGTTACAATTTTTTTTTATGCTTAGGAGGTTATTCGTCAAACACAACACTTCATATGTAAGTTTCTGGAGTCGGATTTTCAATGGCAGGATTAGATCGCGCAAAATTCGTCTTCAATTGAACATCGAAAGGAGAGAAATTTGATCGTAACCGCCACAAGCAAAGTCAAGCTTTTTAAAAGCATTGGTGCTGTCGGCTTCCATACTTCGAGTACATCATTCCTTTAAACTACGAGGCCTTCAAAACACAATTCTTGCTCAGGTTTAATTTTATTCCAGGAAAGAACTTGAGAGCGCCCTCCAGAGCCTTTTTGAATTCCTTTCTGCGTATTCAAGTACGCGCGAGCAGTCAAACAAAAGGTCTGGAACGAGGCTGAAAACAGAGAGCTAGACTTTTTTTTTCTATCACCTCACACGCCCTACGGGCGGGTGTGTGAGGCTCGCCCGCTTCGCGCGCGTAAGACCCTTCTCGCCTCACACGGTGTGAGGCTCGCGCCCTTCGCGAGCATAAGACCCTTACGCCACGCTTTACCGATTTCTTTACTAATTTTGAGAAAAAAACCCGACTGTTTGGTAGTGTAGCCCAACAATGTTGGGAGTTGTTGTGTCCGTTTGCCTCAACCAATCAGATCTCATTTGGCGCGGAAACTAGTTTCTGAGGCAAAACTTAGGGCAAAAATATGATATTAAGCAGATTATGACACTTCTTTCGGGTAATTTTTGCCTCTTCGTTCATGTATCACGGCTATTACTCCAGTCTTAAAAGACTGGATATTTATCTACATTTTATTTGAATTCAAACATAGTTACAATTTTTTTTTTTATTCTCAGGAGGTTATTCGTCAAACTCATCACTTCATATGTAAGTTTCTGGAGTCTGATTTTCAATGGCAGGATTAGATCGCGCAAAATTCGTCTTTAATTGATTTCAAATTTTTTTGTTTATAGTTGTCATTTTAAGACCAATTTTACTCAAACTGCATTTTGAAAAATTCCAATCCAGAGTCAGTCAGTTGTGAAAATTTTGTGACGACCAGAGGTAAATCGCTTTAAAGGCGATTGAAAATTATCAATAGCTCTCTGCGGAGGTTCGCACCCATTTTTCAAGGTCTTGCACTCTTCGTGTTTGATGCTTCATAACTTTGGCTGGAATGCATGTACGGAAAAGCCAAATTGCCAATTTTCACCACTGAAAGAACTGAACTGAACCTTAAGACAAAATTTGGATTGGTTGTGGCACTGTAAATCATTAGTTTTGATGATTAAAAAGAAAAAAGTGAAAAAAAAAAACATTTTTTGAGCTGTAAAATTTTTAGAACATAATATTTCAAAAACGCTCTGATAGCCGATACTGTTCACATCTCGCCAAGTTAAAAACAACGGTCTTAACTATCAGCACACTAGATGATTTTAATAGCTTATTGATTGATTTCGAGAAAATTCCCAATTTGTTTATTTTGCACGTCAACGTTATTCTGTTGTTATGGAAGCGTACCGGCACTACAGCTTAAAAGTCATAGAACATTAAACACGAAGGGGTTAAACCTTGAAAAATGGGTGCAAGCCTCCTCAAAGGCGTTTTTTAAACCAATGTCAACGAAATTTTCACACATGCATTTTAAAAACATACTAAGTAGTTAATGCGTATGAGAAAAAGACTTCTAAGAATTCTATCAAGCCATTCCTAAAAATGTTGACATTTCTTTTCGCCGCCAGCAAGGTTACAAATTGGGTGGATGCTATAGGAGTAGTTCTCAAGATCGAAGCAAGGAAACAAGCAATAAACTTATGGTGTAGAAACGATTGATTTTAGACATCATTATGACTTTACTTTTGAGTAATTTTAAACTCACATAATTTATTTATCGATGCGTCTGCTACTGATAAAACCACAAATATTAAAATATTGAAATGTTTTTGTGGCTTGCTTCAATTTAAACAGAGAGATTTTTTGCGGTTAAAGTGCTTTCTGCTGGCGTTGTCATGCTGCCTGTGGTTCTGTAAGGTTTTTTGCACTTTTTTCAGCTGTAAAACTATTGTTTTTAGAATTTTATGATTAAGTGGATGACTTGAAGAAGCAATTTTTTTTAGCCGCGAATTTATTAAGATCGTAACAAAAGTCGCGCCTACGACTACGTATACCGCGGCGGTGACATAAATTGAATTTTGTGATTCGTCGTTGGTATCTAACCGAAGTTTAATATCCCTCTTCGTTTGACCTTTTTTCATCAGTTTACGCCAAGAGAGCCTGCACTTTTAACAAGCTTTTGAGGTGATGCTGTATGAAGATCTGGACAAGCGTTTTGTTTTCGAACCTATGAAGTAAAACTAATTTCGATAGCTTTTGTTGTGTCTGTTTACAGTTAATTTTTTTTTATTATTTTTTCCAACACCTCAGAATAATTGTCTTTTAAAAAACTTTGCGTGGGTTGTTTAGTGAGACTAGCTGTGCTCTAACTGAAGTCTTACACGATTATATCGGTAGAAATCTTCAAATTAAAAGTACTATTACGTTTGCAAAAGAAAGAAAAGTACTCTTAGAATTGCAAGAAACAATTAATTAGATCACTTATACTCTCGACTTCTATCAGTTTGAACAGTTTTTGCCGATAGAAGTATGGCATTAAGTAAAAGACACCTCATAAAGGACTTTTTTAAACTTAGATGCAGTCCCTAACATCTTTGCTCCAGGAGACGATTCGCTAAAATTTATCAAACTGAGCGAGTTGGAATTAGAGAGAAATAAGAGAACAGGGTATCCAACTACCAAATGTTTCCAAATACGTCAGAAATGCCTCAATTAGTGTTTTCTGTATGCTTTAGAAGCCTGTTTGGTTAATTTGGAGCTGCCCTTAAAACTATTCACCGTTTCGGTTGACTTAGGAAGAAGTTTCCCCGTGTCGAAATTTTTAGGTCGCTTTTTCATCTCATCCGAAACTGTCAGCTACCCCGATAGGTCCGGTGGAAAGTTCGAGGGCATAAAGTAGCCGTCCTCTCATTAGAAAATTCTAGGAGACGTTTTGACTTTATACCGAAATTTTCAGGAGACCCAAGTTCGTAATATCTTGGCAATAAAATGCGAAAAACATAACCTCCAAACATCGTAGGTATGTGGAAGGTATGTTAATAATCCGAATATCGTGGACGAATGGAGCGGTTAATTTTCTATCCTTTCCGGAACTTTAGAAATTTTTAGGCAACATTTGCTCACTCAAACAACCCATCGGAGTAGGGTGCACTTATTTAGACCCAGTTTACACTGGTCCAGACAAATTTTTGAACGGATAAAAACTTGCACGAGTCCGCCTTTCGTTTACACTGTATCTGCAGAACCGTGCAAGGTTTTTAGCGGCAAACATTACTATACAATCTGTAACAGAATTTGCATCCGTGTTCCGTGTAAACGGCCTGTTGCTGCACAGGTAAAAAATTCGCTTGTTCCTGCAAAAATTTGTCCGGGCCCGTGTAAACGCCCCTCATGACTATCTGAGCATTAGCTTTGTGCAGAAACAACGTTTTAACATCTGTGGTAAAGTGATTTCAGCACTGAAAATCAACTCATTTTCTTTTTTCGGTAACTCTCTTTTGACGAACGGTGAATTAGAAAACTAGTCATATATTCGGTAGACTCTACGCTCCAGTAGGATGCTGAATTTGGTTATAACCAATTCTGTCATGGGAGGTTACTCCGAAGAATGCTAGCACTCGGCTTAGACCGGGTTGTATGTTTGAAGTAATATATCAAACATGAGATGCAGTGTTTCATCACCAGATGAAACACCGAGAAGAGAGTTGAAAATACGACGCGCAGCGGAGTATTTTTGACGAACTTCGAGGTGTTTCATCTGGTGATGAAACACAGTGTCGAATGTTTGATATTTCTTCTCAAACAAAATCATTTTTGAAGGAGAAATTAAGGATGCAAAT